TCGGGACGAGAATAAGCACTAACGAACACAAAAATTCCGCCGCTGATGTAATCCCAAACTTCGCCGGGCGTATAACACCAATTTCAGTGAAAAATCGGCAAAGCTGGACGGAATCGAGATTGCTTCTTGGTGCTGGCATAGGGGCCGCTGCCAGTGCGACACAGCCTCGATGCAATGAGACGGANTTTGTCAGCGAAATCGAATATCTAGTGTTCTAGACGGTCGGGAGGCTACGAAGCTATCCACCATATTTCGTCCCCCGCGTCGGGGTAAATTTTCCGGGGGATAGGGGGAGGGGGAGGCGTTTTTGACGGTCTCCGTTTAATAGGAGACTCGTCAATATGTGACGAGTAAATATTGATCCTGAGGCGATACCTAGTCCGGGGACAAAGACACAGATGTGTGTTAATATGCAAAACAAACAAATCGAATCCTTCCTCCACCCCCGCCCCCCGTTCTCGGATCTGTCTTACGCTTCCCCTCCCCCTCCCCCGCGGGTCGTCTTGTTTCAAATGCCATTTATATTTCTATTTTTTCCAGGATCGTATATTTGCCGTCGTGAAAATATGTTATTTCTCACTCTCCGCGTATACGTTCGTCTCCAAGCGCAATTTCACGCGTTCAGATTTCCGAGCATTGTGATATGAACATATTTAAATCAAAAGGAACTATATCTATTCTGACATGAGCCCTGAGATCCATAAGAATATATGCATAACACGGTTCATGTCACAATGTATAATAAAGTTCCTTTTGTTTTAAATGCGTCTGTGTCTGTTGCAATTTTTGTCGGGTTCCTTAATGGTGTCGGTCTTACGCTGAAAAAAGCTAGTTAAATTACTAATTTTCAACAATATATACCGATTAACAGGAGCCCCGGGTAATTTGACTATCTCCCGGTAACACCAAGAATTTTCTTCAGGAGTTTATACAAGTAAGCCAAGCATTTTTGCGATCTATCCTGCTGCTTTAATTGGTCAAACTGGCCTGATAACCGTTGACTAAGAGAAGATGATTCCTATAGTTTACAGTTGATTTGTGTTCATGATTGGCGCGAAGGGTGCGAATCGAAGACAAGGTTCTGTGTTTCTTTTAACAATTGAACCAAGGCGTAGCCACTAAGCAGTCTAAGAATCAATAACTGATTTTGATGGCTGTCTCTTTCTAATGAGATACATTTTTCTCGCAAAGTCGGACAGAATTAGACCCGTGTCATCAAAGAAAACGGTAAAATGTGTTCCATCAATAAAAATTAATTAAAAATTAATGAATTCTCTCACGTTTCACACCCACGCCATGCAACGCTTCCGCGTTGTATTTCACCAACTTATTTTCCATTAGCATTATTTATTATTTTGAACTTAGCGCCGTAAAAGTGTTAAGCCTTGCATTCCAGAACTGCCGGCCGTAGCTGACATCACACATCCTAGTCCCGCGCGAATTAAATTAATAATCGCATTCCTCCCGATTCCGGGGCAGTAATTCTGTCACCTTTTCACCCTCCCTGACAGCGAAAAAAAACGCGGGAAAATTACAAAAATTACTCGCAGGAACACTCGGGACTCGGGACGTATGTCGGGGTGGGGGCTGTGCTGCCGTGCTAAGGAAGAACGCCGTATGAACATTCGAGAGTTGCCAAATCTACTTCGATAAAACGTTTATTTGCGATAGTAAAGATATGAATATTTTTCTTCGAAATTTTCAGGAACTTTAGGTGAAATTGCGATCAAAATTATCTGAAAAATTTGAAGGATAATATTCATGAGTTTACGAGGAAATTTGTGTTTTATCAAAGGAAATTTGGCAACGCCTGAAGGTTCATACCGCGTTTTTCCTCGGCACGGCGGTGTGGGGAGGGGGCGCAACTAGAGATTGCTTTCCGAGTCATACATCCAGGGCGAGATCAAAGGAGTGAAAACAAAGTGAACGCAAGGGCCGGGCCGCGGAAAATGATTTCCCCCTCCGCCCCGTCCCTGCCCCGCAGAATTTTTCCCTCGCGCCGGGACAGGGACAGGGACGCGGAACAATCTTGATGATTGAAGTTTGTCTTGGAGCTTGGTCTCCGGGAATCGTCCAATTCAATCCGGGCTTAATACTCGCGGATTCGCCCCGGTTCCGCTTGACGTTTCGCCCGGGTAATGCCGGATTTCGCCCTCGCTCTCGGCCGGGACGTCGACGATTCGTCAATCGAGGTGAGGATGACGGTGGGGCGGGGATTCGGATCGCAAACAGAAAAAATGCAGCTTACGACTTGCTGCGCGCGGCCGGGGAAGAACAGGGTTCTGTATTTTTGTGTTCGGTGCACACTGGAAAAAAACACATTGGATCTAGAGTCCAGACTCTTGAAAACATTGACAAGAAAAAATACTCTTGATTCAATCAGATTTCTGCTTGAATCAAAAAGAGATACGCTCGAATTAAGAGGCGTGGTTCTTGATTTAAGCTAAAATCCGATTGAATCAAGAGCATTTTTTCTTGTCGATGTTTTTCAGAGTCCGGACTCTTGATCCAATGTGTTTTTTCCCAGTGCATGACGTCGCTCTGGTTTGATCCCGAACACGGAAAAAAATGATATTGCTGATTTCACAATTTTGCAAATTTCAATGTATAGATTTTACAATGAAAAATTCTAATTTAACCATCCCAGTGGTTGAATTGGCTTCCACTTTATTAAAATGTACGTTTGAAACATGTCGGACACATTTTTTTAACAATTTAATTGCTGATCAGCAATACATTTTTTCCGTGAAACTCGACTTCTTAAGAATTGCGAGGGCAAAAATTCACACCCGCAGCATTTGGAAAGTGTCGATCCGATTTTGATCTCTCAGTTCGAAAACGACCCATCTCAAAAAAATGAAATATTTTAAAAGATAATAAAAACCGGGGAACAGACAGAAAAAGAGTGTTGAAATTAATGAGGAATGGTTGTGATACAACATTTTTAGTGCGTAAAAATTACCAAAATTTCGACTTACAAACAAATTATAGAAGGTCCGTAAGAGGGGCCGGACGAAAATTTTACCATGAAAGACCCTCAGTTCGTATGATCGAAGCTCTCTCCCATGATTGAAGGGCTTGATTTCTTGCCCTATTAAGAAGTCCATTCATCGAAGCTGACATTCCTCTGGAACTTCGTCTCTCTCAGACTTGATTACCACCACCTCTCCCCGTTACCGACGCGACGCTACGTAGACGCTGAAGTTCCGCTACGGAAGCGTCCGCGATAATGCCGCGAAATGCTCAAGATACCATTGGTAGCCCCGGGCGGGTTGCGAAGATGCAAAACGTCGGTTCCCGACGCTGCGTCGCGACGCCGCGCCGGGCCCGGGCCGGCGGGGACGGGCAGCGGCCGAGAACAAGATCATTTTTCCGGTCGGTTTGTCTAGGGATCGCTGAAGCCTTGATTTATCGATTCGATCAATCCGGTTCGCGGCTGAAGGAGCCGTCGCCGATGAAGGCGCGATCACTGCGAAAACTGGAGCCGCTTACGAGACGCGGCCCCGAGGGACAGGGACACGGAAGCGACGCTGCCAGGTGTATATCAAGAGGAAACTCGACCAGTCAGAAGCAATTAACAACGAGAGTACCTACGTCGGGAAAGTACGGACATGAAGGTAATTTTGAGGTTATAAATGTCTCTGGATGGCTGTAGGCTCCTCTAAAGCCACTAAAAAACAAGAAGGAGAAGAAGAAGAATGTTGATGTTAGATCATGTGGCCTGGTTACACGCCCAAATTTTCGTCAAATTCCGGTCAAAATGATGACCAAGATGGCGGTCGAGAGTTATCTAGATTGATGAGTAAAATTAATTAAAACAGCGTGTTGATTGAAATAAACACGGTTGTGTGGAAATCAGATGGAGGCTGAGCCCCACAGCTCCATCATCTACCATCAAATTTTTGCAGGCCGTAGAAATTTGATGGTAGATGGTGCGCACCAGTCACCATTTGATCGGAAATTGATGGAAATTTGAGCGTGTAACCAGCATAATGGAGATTTCAGGGTCCAAACGGGCGGCTAACTTATGGACTCTAATTATCTAGAATGACACATTATCATATTGTTGCGACCTGTCGAACACCGCAACGAAGATACGTGGTTTAGCACTTTGGTCATCGAGAAGCGAAAAATTAGCGCGATTCACAAATCAACGCCTGGATACAACTATTCGTGTTCGACGGATGTCCATGTTGCATACGCAAAAATTGAAGGCGTTTTATTGAGCAAACGCTCGCAGCAGAGTAAAAGTTCAGAGAGAGTGCGGGCATGTCGGTAATTTTTGAGTTTAGCAAGTCATTGAGCTCTTAGGGCCCCATAAGGACAGCCAATTTATAGATTAAAATTATCTAGAATGTTTTATTGTTACAACCCGTCGTTTGTAAAGCACGTATTCGACTTACTTTTTTTTACATAAATTTATTCATTTTTGCGGAAAAACGTTCATTTTTGAAAATTCTACGGCCATCTTGATTTGATGTTGGAATCTGAAGATTGGCACGGTCATTTTTTGTGTTGGAGGGTTGGCTGCCCTTTTGGGCCCTAAATATTTCTATATTTCCGTAATCGCCTTATGTAAGTACACGATTAGTAACGGACCACAAGACCAGGTAAGAATTGGACCATAAAAATCTCACAAAAAACACTCTTTAACACGCAGAAAACTTCCAAAACTATGACTTAAAACTTCTAAAAGTTGACAAGAAAAAATATTCTTGATTCAAGCAAAAATTCGATTGGAATAAAGGAATTCTGCTTGAATTAAGATGCCTAGCTCTCGATTTAAGCAAAAAATCGATCGAATTCAGAGTGTTTTCTCTTGTCAAACTTTTTAAGAGCCTGGACTCTGGATAAAAGAGATTTTTTTTCCAGTGTACTGAATTGAAAACTTCCATTTTCTTTTCGATGGACGATTGCTCGGCAACGCCGATGCTGGAGTTGAACCTTTATCGGGGATGAAAACTCTGGCGAAAATGGAGATAAATCGATGGGATCGGTACCTTGAGTCGGGCCCTTCAGGGCGCTACGTGATGACACATGCAGCGAGTTGCGGGACTAGCAGGGCCCTGAAACAGAAAACAAAGAGGCAAGTGAGTGAGGGGTCGGTGCGGCCAGGTCGGAGCATTACTCTGCCGTCCTTAGGAAGAACACCGTATGAACCTTCAGACGTTGCCATATTTTCTTCAACAAAATCCCAATTCACGAGGAAAATTGCGGCTATTTTCTTCTAATTTTTTCAAACAATTTTGTTCGTAATTCAATCTTAAACATCTGAAAATCTCAAAGGAAAAAATGCAAAATTTTTTTCCAAAAATGAACGCTTTATACGGGGAAATTTGGCAACTTTTGAATGTTCATAGGGCGTTTTCCCTTAGCATGGCAGTGCTCCGCATCAGAATAAATGATCTCGGACTGCCTCCTTTGAGGAGCTCATGAAACTGACTCGAATAAATCATAGCGGCTCGCCGACAGTCTTGTTAAACGCCGGCTAGGTGCGCTTTGATGCGCCCGGGCTCACTACCACCGAGTCGTTGTTCCGTGCTTTTCGCAGGTCACGCGTCACGCTCCTCATCCGAGCTGTCACTATGGAGAAAGAAAATTTCGATTTTCTAGACAAAACGCTGGGAAAATTTTAAAATTGAGGTACATTTGGCGACGCTGGTAATTACCGTGCCACGATTAAAATGTTGTGTGTAGAGCTGTGTTCAGGCAGGCAAAATCGGATACATTTCGATGGAACTCTCAATGTAGCGTTGGAGCCGCGTGTTATGTGTGCCACTCACGCTCGGCGCCTTCATTCTTTTGAATATGCAACTTGGACATCCATCGAAAGAGAATAGTTGCATGCGGACGTTGCAAGGAGAGCGGTAGAGTATTTAGTGCGGGGCTTGCTCCGTTCAGTAAAAGACACAAAGACGAAATGATATGATTCAATGAGACAGATATTTAAATCAGGGAAACAAGTTACGGAAATTCCTCGTAGCCACACTGCAAATCCGAATATAAGGAGACCAAAAAAGTAAATGATCCAAAGTGAATAGATAAATAAATAGATAAATAAATAAATAAATAAATAAATAAATAAATAAATAAATAAATAAATAGATAGATAGATAAATAGATAAATAAATAAATAAATAAATGGATACGTAAATAAATGAATAAATATGAATGATACGGGTTAGTGTGTGTCTACTGTGTGTGGACGTCATATATTGTGGATTTGTAGGTTTCTATAATATAATTTGCTATATGGGGGGGGAGAAGGGGAGGGAGAGAAATAGAGTGAGAGAGAAAATCAGTCGGAAAAGTCTCCACAATGGTCCACATAGAACGCAGTGCATACCGCGTAAAATATCATATTTTTTTTCTATTTTTCCGAATGGAATCCGGTACTTTCATTTTTATTTATTCACTCTTTAGACCTTACATTAATTTCATTGTTTTTAGGTTTCGACTGCGGGTGGGATCTCTTCGTGCTGAATCCGATTTACTTGTGCGTCAAGGGGGGGGGGGGGGAGAAGGGGGTTGCGGGGTGAGCCGACCCGATCCGAGTCCTTTTTCCACTTTTTCCCATTCGGTCTCAGGGTCTCACGCGCTCAAACGCAAACCGCCGCGCACCGAACCCAATGATCTGTAGGTATTCGACAAGCGTGAATAAAATATTCATAAGAATAAAATTCATATTTACGGAATCGAAAAGTAAAACGGATGCTTCATTTTCAACTGCGGAGCGCGGGTGGTGAAGCGAGGTTGCCGGCTTTCGAGAATTTGCGATTTTCGCAACTTTATAATCAGAAAAATCGAGATGATCACCATAGATATTAGAAGTGTGCACTATGGCTATGGCGTTCCTTCCTAGCACTGCTACGCGGAAACTAGTTGCGCATAAAATTCGCCACACGATGACTGATGAACGTTGGGTTGATCACTTTGTGAGAGGATTTTTCGCACATTAGATTAGGTTTGCTACTCAACCTCTTTGTGATGAGGCGAATCTGAGCTCAACACTTTGCAGGGTGTCTACTAAAACAGGCTGGTCAAAAATAAGTACTTTTACAGTACTTTTTCAGTACATTCTCAAGAAATTGAGTACCTCTTCCGACAGAAAAAATCCGTACTTTTTCAGAACCTCCATTTGACGAAATTCGAAAATTTTCAAAAATTTGAAATTGCGACAAAAATAACCAAAAAATTCCAGAATTTTTTGCGGAATTTCCGCATTTTTTCAGTATTTCTGGGCCGCCCTTAAAAAATCAGTACTGTTTCCGGACTTTCCGGAAATTCAGGACTTGTAGACACCCTGCTTTGAGGAACACGCAAAACGGGATCTCCAAATTACAGGGTCTCTGTGCGAGATGGCTACGCCGTGACGCGCAAGGAGTACAAACTGGGGTCGTTACGGTGGTGTATTGTTGCGTTAATCTAATCCGAGTGCGCTTAAAAAGTTTACGCTCCGATAGCGCGGCGCCGCCGCCGCGGTCGGTTACGTGGAAATTATATCGACGCGATTACGATTACGATTACGATTCGATGGTCCCTGATGGATACCGCAATTAGAGCGCTCTCGATGGACCCATGAATGCCCCGCTAACTAACGTTTGATGCCGGCCAAATTCGGCAGAGCTCGCCACCGTCGCCGACCCCTTATCCCAACTCCCGCGCTAATGCTGAAGAAAAACACCGTAAGAGAGTTGGCCTGTTGCCGCACTGCCCTCAGTAAAAAAGTGCAAAATTGGGAGTCAAGTCATTAGATTCAGGACAATGTCTCTGACACACTTTTCTCTGAAATTGTATAATAATTCAACTATAGTTAATGATGATTTGAATTTTTTTAGCACTTGAGGGCACAATAAAATGAAGAATATTAGAAAAGCAACTTTTTTGAAAATATTTTAAAAATATTTTTACGTTATTTTAGAAACTTTTTCTTTATTGTGTAGTACGTCCTCTTCGATTTAATGGGTGCATTCTACTATTAGCGCTGCTTACTAGAGAAATTCCAGTAATTCCGAATGTTTCCTTCCTCGTTACATTCTCGTAGGATGATATTCTATTTCTTGTTTCCTCTTTGTTTTCTTTTTCGTGTGTGTCACACTAGATGCTTTTAAAATTTCCAAGGAAACACCCAGATCCGTGGGAACATTTTGCCTAAAAACAAGACTGAACAAGAAAAAATTGGAAGAAATTTGGAAGAGCTTAGTGAAACTTTAGGAAAATTATTATTGAAAGACACATTTACGTTATTTCTAACACCTCAACCAAAGCTCACACGTAGGAATAGGTAAAAAAGTATACAGACCCGAAAAAAAAATCAAATTAAATAAATAAAAAAGACCCCCGGGCAGCAGGGAGCCGGGCGGAGGCATAATTTATCACGCTTCATTAATTTCATCGATTTTTTACGGCGTTTCGGGGCGCGGGGGTCCTCGGGGTACAGTTAGGCCATTTGCATTCAATTGTCGTCGGGTCCTTGTTGACTGGTGACTGTTGACTGTTGACGATCCGCGGCGCTCGGTGTTGTTAAACCGGGCCGGTTTCCCGGTTCCCCGTTCCGACGACAACATACCGCGGCAGCCGATCCGCGGCGCGGCGCTTCAACTATAAATTAAACGATGAACTACTTGTCAGCCACTAGACTATTACTTTCGAAACCGGTCCACGTTCGTGTAGTGTTGTAGCGCCTGCTCCGCTTCGGTTCCGAGCGTGTAAGTGCGACCCGAGTTGAGAACTCGTATGTAGCGGCCGCGTCGCGCAGTGAGCGCCTACTGCGAGTATCTGACTTCGACCTAGCCCCCTTGGCTGCCAGGAGAAAGACTGTTCAACCACCAAAAAAAAAAAACTCCGGCCGTAGAAACCGTACTTTTGGGCTATATAGACACACCGTCCGCGTTCCGGGCTGAAAGGCCGAAAGATCCGGGCGTAGCACTCGCGGAGCAGTCGAAGCTACGGCTCCGGCACCCGGAACTTTCGGCCTTCTGAGCCCGGGACGGACAGTATGTTTATACAGCCCGTAACTTTTTTTTCAGTACACCCAGGTTTTATGGTTTAGGTAATCTAGGTTTTTGGTCACGGGAATCCAACTATGGTTTGGCCGACAATTCCTAACACCGAAAAATTCTGAAGCCTGCGGGCTAATTGTTGAAATTGATGGACAAACATGACAAAAAGGAAATGGAGGAATCCTATGGATGGAAGCTGGTGGTTGGAAGGTACTTAGGAGTGAGTAATAGATTAACTAACTTTCGCCATCGTCGGTATGAATGAAAATCTACGTGAGCCCTGTTGTCTGTATAACTACATGCTTTTCGGGTTTCAGAAATGAAGATACGCTCTTACATCAGAAAGGCGACGTAGTATCGCCTCGGAACTAGAAGAAAATGACTTGAATTCGCCGTCAAAAAGCTTCACTCTCGAATCAAGAATTAAACCGCTTGAATCAAGCAGATTTAAGCTTCATGTAAGCGAATTTTTCCTTGATGTATCATATTTTTAAAGTGAGACTCTGACATATATCCGTCTCCGAGCCCACCGTGCGACGAGTCGGACGAGACATTTTTGATGGTTATGCGTGTATTTATTTTGAATTTTTCATCACGTGACTCGTTCCCGATCCGCCGAGGGCGGGGCGAACAAAAAACTGTTATCATCGGCATCGAATCGGAATGATAAAGAGCGTCAACGCAGTTTTCTGACACAACGAGCATCGCAATTTCCGGAGGTCTCGGCAGACGATGGGTAATCGCTGTTCCTGTCGCTGCCCGCCATTCTTTTTCGTCATTTTTTTCTATGCGCTTTCAATTCTTTATAAATTGGCTTTGATCGGTGCATTTCTCGGAAACGGCGACGAGCTTTCGGTTCGTTGCTGCTTGTCATCGCAGACAGTCTGATCGCAGAGACGATCTTTGATGTCGGAGTCGAGAGAGGATGTACCAAAGACAGTTTGAAGAGTTGCTCTTGAAATTGTATGTCCCCCTTTCATCATTGTGCGTTCCGAGTATGGATACTAACATTAATATACTGCCTTGAGAGCAGAAAGAACTAAATGGATAAATAAAATGTTTAA